AGATTTAGAATGATTTATAAACATTGCTTAGTTGCATTTCAGGCAACGGATTTTGTTGAAGGTGTGCCAGTTAATCATGGCTTACCATGTGCTCCAGCATAACTCCTGTCAAATCGGTCTCTTTCAATGCAGTTGCACGACTCTGCAGATGTGCCATGGTACAGAGACTTTTCACAGAGTTCTGCTTGGCCATTCTTGGCTAGTATACGCTGCCGACACACGCTGTAGGCGTTCCACAGGTACAGGTTCTGCACACGTTCAATCTGAGACCACAAAAACAAAAGCCGCATTTAGGATTATTTTTCGATAAAGTGGAGATTTTAGTTGTCCCAATTGTGTAATAATGTTAGCATGCTTACTTTATGGATCGTGTAGTTGGCAGTTTTGAGGAAGTCACTAGCGACCTTCTGGTATTCGTTGGAGTTTGGCAGCAACTCCACCTTTTTAAAGATTTCATCTTGCATAGGTTCCCAGTGCGAAGGTAAGTCCAAGGCTTAAGCAGTCACACAAAGAAATGTTTAATTTACACAGACTTTGAAAGTGTTAAACATATTGTATAGACTATAAAGCGTTTTCATACCCTACCTTCACTCTCTGTCCTTTTCAGTTCATATCTTCTGCCAGTCACCCAGTCTGTGGCATCTTGTGACCTCATGTTTACCTTGAGAGTCTTGCCTTCAGGCATCTCAATGTCCACAGACACTTTTTTCTGTAAGTGAGCTGCCTCCAGCATGTAGTTTCCACTAAGGCTCAGCTCCTGCCATTCTCCATTGTCATCTTTCATCGCCCACTGGATGGTAAGAGCCAGCATTGCCTCTTCCTTGTCTTTGAGGTCTTCTTCTAGTACATTCTGAACTGCTTTGTTTATTAACTCTGTGACACTCAGGACATCTTCCTTTAAACCTTTCAGGACGTACTCTTCTTTGCTTGACGCATTTCTTCCCCTGGGCCTACTGGTATCGACTGTTTTGTGCTCTACGCTTATTCCCATTAGTTTGACTTTCGCCTGCACTGCGTCCAGTTCCATAGCGTCCAGCTTAGAGACACAATGCACAGGCACAGTTCTCTCTATGAGCTCT